TCTCTCGAATTGTCGAAGCGCCGTCTTCTTCCCCTTTCTTCCTACTCATTGAATTTTTCAAGTATTTTCTTGAATTCTCTTTAGAGAATTATGTTAATTTCTCCTCATTTGAGTTGAGAAATTTTCAAGTTTAATCTTTTTTATTCTCTTTGGAGAATTATTTGAATTTATCTTCGTTGGATAAATTATTATGAGTGGTCAAATGACCATTATTAATTTTTCTTTGGAGAATTATTTGAGTTTCTTTTTGTTTGAGAAATTATTATGATTGGTCTTTGTACCAGATATTACGAGTGATGTTGATACCATATTTGAATGGTCTTGTACCATCGGAGGGTGTATTTCTAGATTGAACAGTATCGCGAAACGTCTTAAAGAGTGCGACCTAATCCACGACTCAACCTGGTAATTTCTTCGATGATAAATATTTTAAAATCCGAAAACAACACATTCTCTAAACAACTTTTTAAAATTTTAAAGGGACAAGAGTTGGAAGATAATTTATTAAATATTATTTGCCAGTCTCTTAGGTGATCATACACAATCAAGCGTGTCTTTAGGTGTGTCCAATCCCCTAGTTTGTCCTATTTCTTAGGACTTGGATAACTCAAACAAAATATTTAGTTAAATTGAAAGGATAAACACGATATCGATATTTTATTCCAACTAAAAATATTCAAAACAACTTGTCTCTAATAAATAAAGAACAAAAAAGGGTAGTGATAAAATTGAACTTATTTCACTAAAATAATAATAATAATAATAATGATTTTGAAATTATATATTTTCTTTGAATTTTACTAGTCAATATAGTATTTATAAATTTAAAATATTATCATGATAGTTTAGTCTTTATAATATTTATTATTATTATTATTATTATTTTCCTTTTTTTTTTGGGTCTTTTTACCGTTTTTCATTTAAAATAATCATATTTGAGGTGTGTTAAATGTTAAATATGAGTGTTTCTAGAAATAAGAATTTACTATTTTATTAAAAGAAATGTTTAAAAATTTTATATTATTACTATATATTAAATTAATAAATATAACATATATTCAATTATATATGTGATATAAATCTCGAATGTAATAATGGATTTAAAAAAATATTGTTGTCACACCTGGCTATATTTAATTGGTAAAACAAAGAATCTGATGAAAGAAATGCCATAGAGAGTGCCTCCAAATTCAATCAACCCAATCAAATAATAATATTATTATGATAATATTTCTCATCCAAAAAAGAATTACTCCAAATAAATTTCCTTAAACAAAATCAAATAAATAAAATACGAGGTAAATTCATGTTCTATGAATGTGGATTATGTGTTTTCTTTATATATAGATTCTAAGTGTCAAAATATTCTCATACAAAAAAAAAAAAGGTGGTGAAGCAACTAGCAGTGGCAGCCATGGATACTCTCACACTTGCTTTGGGTTTTCTCTCTCTCTCTTTGTTCCTCTTCCTTCTAAAGAGGTCTACTCACAAACATTCCAAGCTTCACCATGTACCAGGTATATATGTTATGTAATCTGTCATGTATCTGGTGTCATGTATAATTCACTCACTCATTTGATTTTGTTGTATTGTATGAATGAATTGTTAGGTGAATGATGAGTGTGTGTTTTGGTGTTTGCAGTGGTTCCAGGTTTGCCAGTGATTGGGAATCTGCTGCAATTGAAAGAGAAGAAACCTCACAAGACATTCACAAGGATGGCTCACAAATATGGACCTATTTTTTCCATCCAAGCTGGTGCTTCCAAAATCGTTGTTCTCAATACTGCTCAACTTGCTAAAGAGGTCCCTTTCCTGCATCAATTATTCCTTTGAATCAAACCTTGGATTGTGTTGTTTCTCATTTTCTCATTATAATTCACATGTTTTTCTTGTTCCCCCTAATGTTTTAGGCCAGATCTGCCATACTTCTCTATAGTGTTTATTTGTTTCACTATATTTAAACTAACCCTAGGAGTTGGCCTGTTGTTGCTAAAGGCTTCAGTCCTCACAATTTCTGTGTTGGACCAAGTCTATGCTCTCAGGTTCAAATTCTACTTGGTACTAACAATTCCTGTGTCGGGTGCTTTAAATGGGACCCCGCAAGGGATTGATTCCTTTGGATTAGTTGCGGCCAGATACCAAGCTTTAAAAAAAAATGAGCACATAGAGGCGGTGGAAATGATATCGAGTGTTAGTTTATAATATTTTTCTATTATTTCAGGCAATGGTTACTAGATATCCATCAATTTCAAAAAGGAAGCTATCAACTGCACTCACGATTCTAACTTCTGATAAATGTATGGTTGCTATGAGCGATTACAATGATTTTCACAAAATGGTTAAAAAACATATTCTTGCAAGTGTTCTTGGAGCCAATGCACAGGTTTGTTACAAAACTTGATGGTTATCTCATCAGTATTTGAGTAAATAGAATATACACTCTCTTCTCTCTTTTACGGTTTGGATGAAAAGTGTCTCTCATGTGTATTTTTGTTTGTACAGAAGCGACTCCGTTTTCACAGAGAAGTTATGATGGAAAATATGTCCAGGAAGTTTAATGAACATGTGAAGACCCTCTCAGATTCTGCTGTTGATTTTAGGAAAATATTTGTGTCTGAACTTTTCGGACTAGCATTGAAGCAAGTGAGTCTTATCCTTCTTATATAAAATTAGTAAGAATTTTGGGAGAATAGAATAGCGCGGCATAAAAATTTACAAAACCCTGACCTCGTGGATAATTTGCAGGCTCTGGGAAGTGATATTGAATCCATTTATGTAGAGGATTTGACGACTACATTATCAAGAGAGGACTTATATAACACTCTAGTGGTTGATTTTATGGAGGGTGCAATTGAGGTGGATTGGAGAGATTTCTTTCCGTACCTGAAATGGATTCCAAATAAGAGCTTCGAGATGAAAATTCGTAGAGTGGATCACCAAAGAAAAATTATCATGAAGGCACTACTTAATGAGCAGAAGAAGCGGTTGGCATCAGGAAAGGTAAGGTTCTCTTCTCTTCTCTTGTTTGCAACTTCAAAACTACGCATAATCCATGATAGAGTTATCTTAACTTGATTGTTTGGGATGGAACAGGAATTAGATTGTTATTATGATTACCTAGTATCAGAAGCTAAAGAAGTGACCGAAGAACAAATGATCATGCTGCTCTGGGAGCCAATTATTGAGACATCTGATACTACCTTAGTCACAACAGAATGGGCTATGTATGAACTCGCCAAAGACAAATATCGTCAGGTTGATAGTTTTACTTCCCCTTTAGCTCACTCTTAGAATTTAGGCTCGGACATATCCCAACCCGTGTGAGGGTTGTCCCTAATTATAACTAACCAACCATTTTAAGTTGTTTGGCTGGTTGGTTGGTTCGCTTTGGTGATCTCTTTTTTCCCAATGTTGACACATTGTTGCTGGTTACATCTTAATATGGCAGGACCGTCTGTATGAGGAGCTTCTAAATGTATGTGGACATGAAAAGGTTACCGATGAGCAATTATCTAAGCTACCTTATTTGGGGGCTGTATTCCATGAAACATTAAGGAAACATAGTCCTGTTCCGATTGTCCCACTAAGATATGTTGAAGAGGATACAGAATTGGGAGGATATCATATTCCTGCTGGATGCGAGGTTGTTCTCTTTTTCCTCTAAGTAAAATTTATATATTATATTCTATATGATTGATGATTGATTGATTCCCGTTTCCTGTTCTACAGATTGCGATTAATATATATGGATGCAACATGGATAGCGACTTGTGGGAAAATCCAGACCAGTGGATTCCAGAGAGATTTCTTGATGAGAAATATGTCCAAGCAGATTTGTACAAGACAATGGCCTTTGGAGGAGGGAAGAGGGTGTGTGCAGGCTCTCTTCAGGCCATGTTGATAGCTTGCACGGCAATCGGCAGATTGGTACAAGAATTTGAGTGGGAGCTGGGACATGGGGAAGAAGAGAATGTGGATACAATGGGCCTTACCACCCACAGGCTTCATCCCTTGCTAGTAAAACTCAAGCCAAGAAACCTTTCTAAGTAGCAGTGGTAGCTTATATAGCTAGAAAATTTAGTGGTTGTAGCATAGCTACATATTTAATAAGTGTGCCTCGTAGTAAAGTTATCTCAAATCTACGACTTTGATAAATAAAGTTCGGTATAATAAGAGTTTTGTTAAGTTTGCTGTATTGACTGTAGTTTTTCAATCAGGTATGGAAAATCATAACCCTGTGTAAAAAACTATGATTCAATAAAAGTGGCTTGATTGACAAGAGAGGCTAGGTAGTTTCGTTTGCCTGCCGTCTCTCTTGTTTCCAAATAGTTTCATTTCAATTTCATTCGTTTGTTCGTTTGTCATTTTTATTGTGCTGATCCTCCCCTAAGTGTACCTCTTCTGTCTTTTCTGTTGGCACAGCTATTTTGTGTGGAGTTGAGCCTGCATTGGCTCTTTTTGTTTGTCATTTTTATTGTGCTGATCCTCCCCTAAGTATACCTCTTCTGTCTTTTCTGTTGGCACAGCTATTTTGTGTGGAGTTGAGCCTGCATTGGCTCTCTTTTTTTCCAAAAAAAAAAACAAAACTACTGTTGCTCTAGTATCTAACATGATTTGAGGGCTTTAAGTGAGGTTAATCATATGTTGAATCTCCCTACTTTCAAGATTACTTCTCTAAATAAATTGCATTTATACAAAAAAAAAAATCCTCCTAGCTGAAATGAACACAATTTGTTGCAGGATCGAAGAGTACGGTGGGATTTAATTTAGTTAAATAGTAGCCATGTTTAAAAAGTCTGAAACATGTAATAGTAATGAATTGCTCATCTGAACACAATGATTTATACATTAGTTTCTGTGATATTTGGATGGCATTGTATCTTCCTAGCTGAAGATTAGACAAAATCAACTATTACTTCTTCCCGGAAGGGACTTCTCTCAACCAAAAGATATCTTGAATTCAGAGCTTGAACCAATTGTGTCGAAACTAGGATTTTCCATTACACTATGCAACAAAGTTTTGCATCAATGGAAGCCAAACATATGGAAAAAGCCTGGTAACCAGTCAAAGGATATCTGCACAATTTTGTAAATTCAGATGAAATCTATAGTGTGAAAAAATGAAGCTCAAGAAAACTAGAGCATTTGAATTGATAATGATAGTGATACCTATAGTCCATAACAAACTTAGATTTTGCCACCCTCCCTAGCTGCAGGATTGTCTGCTTCCCATTCTCCTAATAACCATAATAAAGACACCAAATCAGCTAAACATGAAAATACAACATAGAAACACTTCCACGATGATGATTGATACCTCTAAAGTGAGCTGAAAGTTTTTAACTGATTTCTGGATTTGAAGTCCTGTCCTTCCTTTATCTCTATAGTCAAGCTCAAATTGTTTTGAACTCTTGATGAAGATAATAGAAATTAGAAATACAAATTAGTCAAAGTACAACAGATCCATGTCTAACCATAAATGACAAATAAAATCACCTTGTTGTAGAGTGGATCTTTTGAGTATAGTTGATGAACTTTGTCCAATTTTCCCTTCCAATTCAGCGGCAAACCCTTAATATGTTGCACCTGTGAAGTGTTCTTGAAAGATATAGATTGATGATTAGGTATATATGCTTTGATGCTTCTATGAGTTCCTGTACATGTTGGTATTGTAGGTACATACTCAACAACAGCAAGAGGCTGCTTTGAATTTGATTGATTACTATTGGATTTAGAATTAGGACGATGGTTCTGATCCCAAATGTTGTATTTGGATCCAGTGAGGTTGGCCGTTACTGTCCCGAGGAAAGTATCTTCGGAATCAGAAAGTAGTCCTTTTACATTCTGAGCTACTGTGAACTGTGATCTTCCATTTCTCCGCCGCTTGTGGCAGGCTACAGCCAGTTTCCTATTCTGCCGTCCCTGACCTTCGTAGGTATATAGAGAGAAGAAGGTGGTTGCAGAGAGACCCTGAGGGATTGTTTCTTTGACAATTACACATGTACATCTTCCAATATCTGTAGGTAAGGGTCTACATATCAAAGACCTGAAATGAAAAACACAAGATAAAAGTTATATGAAGTATAGACACAGACACTAACAGGTGGAGAGAGATTGGTTTACTTGTTAGGTAAAGTGGACCAAGAGGAAGCGGGAGCTGCTTCGGAATCGGAGTAGTCCCATATTTTGAGAGAGTTGGAAAAGTGAGAAGAATCGTTGATTTGCATGCAGAACTGTAATGAAGAAGGTTTAACAATTCTAGTTGATAATGATTTGGATTTTGGAAGAACATTGACATTGGTGTTTTCTTTGTTTTCTGTTACGTTGCTGCAACTACGACGAATACTAATATTGGTTTGGGTCTCGCTGAGTGGATTTGAAAACATGCGACAGAGGTTTTGGTTCTTCATTTGGTGGTTTGTTTTGAACAATGTTGTTGTTGTTGGTGGTGTTTGGGTGATTTATATTTGAATGATTGAATTGAATTGGTGGGTGGGTCCTATATGTTACTTTTTATGTTTTGGTTTGAATTTGAAAAAGCTTTGGGTAAGGCAATAATGTCTTTATTTAGGTTTGTGGTTTTGTCTTTGGTGATTCTAACGGTAACTATTTAACTCAATCTCACTCTCATGTTTTAGTTTAGTACATAAAAGGATACTTTTGAACACAAATAAAGTACACAAAACCCTTTGTCTTGTTCAAAGTGGGGTTTTGTATCATTTGACATTTAGTAGACACTTTTAGGAGAAAATATATTTTCTTGCCGCAGTTAAAGATATTACTAATTCATCAACTCAAATATTTTGATTTCAAATAATGTGTTATTTTATTTTATATATTTTTTTAAAATCCATATATATTTGAAAAAGTGAGAGAATCGAAGATAAATATATAAAATATGTCATAAGATCTATTGTCTGGATTTTGATATTTAAATAACACAATTTTTTTTATGAGTGATAAGCTTATAGAATAAACAAATTTAAATATAGGAGAGCTCCAACAAAAGGATTTGTTGGCACATTTTCTTTTCTTTATGATAGTGGAGTGTTTCAGTGTGGCCGTTTAAGTGATAGTCAGCGTGGCCGTTTAGGTGAAATATCTGTGGATTATTAAGACTATTTTTAAGAATTTTAAGTTCGTCTCAAAGAAAGGTGAATTTTGTTAAGAGTGGTATTTTTTGTATTAATGTTGGAAGGTCTTTCGAGTTTGCCTCGTCTATGGTTAGGTTGTTTACTAAGAGATTAATTTCTTGAAAGCATAGGTTTATGAGTCTTGGAAAAAGAGTGATTCTTTTAAATTCGATTCTGAACTCTATCTTTATCTTCTACCCTTTTTTATGAAGTTTCTAGTGTCATAATGGAAGAAGATAGTTTGGATTGTGATAAGAAAAAAATATTAGAGCTTTATTGTAGGTATTGTAAAATAAGTTATATTTTGATACAAAAAATAATTGTTTAAAACAATTCAAGTAGAATATTAATATAACCATTATCATTTGAGTAATTGTATTTGCAATTATTTAATAAAATTGACCAATAATATTATTTGTTGAAAGAGATAATTCAGATTAGCTATTATAAAAAAAATTAGTTTGTCAAACTATATTTTGTTAATTATGTCAAGAAAAATTTAAAATAATTAAGTGTAAGCTAAAATGCAAAAACTGTCATCCAGAACTTAATCAATAACTTTATTGCAAATTATCACCTTAAATCTTTTAGTGGTTTCAAATTATACCTTAATTTTGCATGTGTTCAATTTAGATAGAAGGTATTAATAAAAGCTTTTTGAGTGAGTTACTTGAGATGATGAGAAATTTCCAAAGACAACAAATGATGTACAATTATAATTCTTAATATAAATAATTGGCTATAGAGATGCATATTTTCACTTATAAAGCTAGGTAACTTAAAAATTTAAGCTAATAATAAGTTAATAATATATAACTATTATACGTATAAATGGATTTAAGAAATAAGTTGCTTATAAATATTGGAGAACCAAAAATCACTTAACTTGAGTAGTAGAGCTAAAAGTGCAATTTTCATTGGGGAGAAAAAATAGAATTCTCATTAATGAGATATTTTGTTTGAAAAAATAGAATTCTGATTAATGAGATATTTTGTTTTCCTCTTGTAAGAGGAACCAACAGTCTGACAGAGAAGATACAAATGCTGTTATACAAACCAAAACCAAAACCAAAACCAAAACCAAAATCAATAATAATATGTAGTAGAGTACGTCAAACCCAAATCAGAAACTCTACCACATAAATCTCCCTAGAAAGACACGGCCAGAAGAAATTTTCAAATCCACCCTCGCAAAAAGAAGAAATAAAAGAAAAAACCTGAACAAAACTATGAATCAATGTGGGTTAAAAATTTAATCCTCAAAATCAGCAGCATTTTCCAGTAAGTAGTTGGCCGCCAATTGCTCATCACGGTCACATGCCAAAAATGCCTCTATAACTAAGGCTCTATCAAATCCCATACCCTCTAGCTGCATATCAGTAAAAATGAATCAGTACATATGGTAAATCAATTTAAATGAAAAGAGCAAAGTCGGACTTTGTAAAAATAGATATACCCTTCCAATTGCCTCCTGCTCAGCTGGTGTCACATTGATAGCATGAGGCATGTCTTGTTCCGGCTCATCAAAGTTATCTCTAAATAATAGAAGAAAGTTACATTCATAAATAAACTATGGGATCAAGTAATGATTATAAAATGCAAAGATGACATGTTAAATTATCTCAGACCATACATGGCAAGCAGTATATACTCACCCTTCAGAACCGTCCGTGGGTTCATTTATCAACTGGAGAAACTCAGCATGATTTTCATCAATAAGTCTCAGGAGACTGGGATTTTGCTTTCCGAGCTCTTGAAGTACAGGCTGCAATAGAAATTCTCTCAGACTTTGACAGATGACAAAAAGTCAGGTATTAGGTGATTGAGAAAATAGATAGTTAGATACCTGGAGAATTTGTGGATTGGATTGTACCATTGTCCGTAATGCTTGAAACTGAATATGCCCAACATAGAAACATTTACTAATAATTTATTAAAGTTGGATACAAAGAAGAATAACAAGTGCTCTGCAGTACAATATTGTCTCTACTAATGATGTGCACCACATTGACCAAGCACAGCAATTTATGTTGAACTAGCTCCAATCGTAAGAAAAACAAATCAAATTACCAGCCATGACAATATACCAAAAACCAAGATTTCTTGCAATATCTAGCATAAGCTAATGTGGTGAAACTATATAAAGCACACAACATTGATTTTTTTGTTTCCTTTCTAGAAGTTTTTTCTACTTCATGTGCTCTTTTAAGGATATGATTTGTAAACATGGTGGACACTATCCAATATTAATGTTATGCACGGTATAAAATTTTTGTCAAACAGTGACACGTGATATGCTATTTGTAATTGTGACCCACCTCTCAGATTCCATTGGTATAACAAGTTTAAATACAAACACTATTTCTTTCAACATGGACGTGTCAAACATGAATTTCTTAACATTTAGTGCGTTGAAAATTATGAAATAAAATGCCCACCTGGGAATTGGTCCTCAAGAAGTCGAGCGAACCAGCTCCAGCTCCAGCGCCAGAAATTGTCTCCTGAGAGAATTTCAACTCAAAATAAAGCACAAAGTAACAGCAAAAGATGTAAATGACAAGGTACAGTGACTTTTGTTACAATAACATCAACAACCAAAGTCTTATCCCACTAGGTAGGGTTGGCTATATGAATCATGTGACTTTTGTTAATTCATTCAAATTATAATTTTTACCTGCGGAAACATATTCAAGGGGGACGAGTTAGGGGCCCCGGGAATAGCTCCAGTAGTGACACCACCAGTTTCAGTTTGATTATTTGGGTAATGAGGAGCCGGTACAGCAACTTCTGCTGTTTCAGGAATCCCCTGCAAATAAAAAATAATTGTTAAATCAAATAAGACACAGCAGAAAGTTCAAGTAGAGTCTACAGTGAGCAGTTTAGGCATACAGAATACAAATAATCTACAGCACGTTCTGGGTTATTGAAAGCTGCACGAAGAGCACGATTAACAGTATCTCTATCCCAGCTGCCTCCACCCATGTCCACAAGTTGTTGAATAGTCTGCTCTAGATTACTCCCAGCAACTAAATTTGAAGCAGCCTGTCCATAAGTATCTGTAGTAACACTGCAGAAATGCCATTCAAATGTATTTCAGAAGCCTTGATTACAGGAAATTGGAAAATGGCAAACAACTCAATTTGTTGATTCCAGCAAGAGGGTAAGATGCTTATGATCGCTATGTTTATTCAAGGTGTGATTATAATTAGGAGACTTGAGTTAGTAAGTAGGAATTTAGGTTTAGTTATTTCGGTCTGGTACATTATTCCCCATGGTTGGATTAGGACTCTATTCTTTATTCTAGATTAGAATTTTTCAGCCTAAAGTTTGGGTTACCCGCAACAGTACAAGCCCATAACACTTGTTCAAGAGTAATGTGTCTGATTGGTGAGGAATCAGAAAACTGATGAACAAGGCATCAGTCAAATTTTAATGATAATATTAGATCAGGCTAACCTAAAAGTAATCAGACCAAATTCAAATTACAACTGTTCTGGACTGGCCCAATGGCTAGAGTGGACCCAGTCTGACCTCCTCCTTCGACACGGCCCGTGCAACCACGGCCCGGGCTCCCCTGTCCTCCATCGGGCACCATCGATCGTTTGTCCTCCTGAACTAGCACTGACCTACGACGATCGACGAGCGCCTCTCAGTCTGCCGATCTCAAGTCGGCCAGACAACCAGGAACCGATCAGACCGCTGCCTGTAACCTATCCCCTCAGAACTAACGGCTAGTTGAGGGCACACCTGCCTGGTTTGACCAAGTCCTGGCAGTTACCTATTTTTACGGACCCGCATATCTAGGCCCAAAAATAGGGATCAATGGCCAAGCGCCAGGGGTACTATATAAACCCTCACTCATGTGAGCGTCAGGGATCGATTATTGACTATTCATCACTAAACCCCTAATACTTTGCTTGTATTTTTGCTCTCACACTTACTTGATCGTCGGAGTGCCTTGCAGGTACAACCCCCTTTTTCCTCCTTGACTTTCCAGTCCGTCTGAAGATCATCATCCGGCCACCTTGCAGGTTCTGATCAACCAGTAAAATCAAAAACCATGACATTTTGCCTCTTGAAGACAATCAATGTTATCAAATTTGCAATCCCACAACGAGCTAGCGATCTTGATCATGAGTAAAATCGCATTCTGATGAAATTGCGAGAGAAAAAATGTAGAAAGAATGATGTTGCCACAATGGGAGAAGAAGATTTTGAAAGCTTTACATATGTTGGAATAGAAAGGAATCAAAAGAATTGCTGTTGCTTTTAAATGA